GACTGACCGTTTTGGTCAGTTCCATTTTCTTCCCACTTCCATGTCACTGTGGTCACAGAGGACAGTCTGTGTGACTTCAGTCTCTTTACGTCATTGAGAGCAGCTTTGTGGCTGGCAGGTGGGTGGCTCTGGAGGATGGTGTCACGCCCTCTGGGGAGAAGGCGTGTCCTGTGGCTGAGAGTGTCCCTGGTCTGTCGCTGCTTGCCTTAGGGGCCGTCCAGCCTCCCCCTCCCTCTGGACGTGCATCTAGCTCTGGGAGTCAGTTTTTCAGTGAGGTTCAGTGCCTTATTGAAGTCTCCACTCTTATTGTAGGACTGGAACTGCCTGCTTCTTCAATCTGCCTGTTTCTTCATTATTTTGGGGTCCCATGTCAGGTGTGACATGTTTATGGTTGCTGTACCTCTGGGTGGGGCGGCATTTTGTGACATGCTGAGGTCCTCCTGCTGGTCAGTCTGTACCAGCTTGTGTATACCACCTGCTCCCTTCCAACCTCCATCCCTGGCCACGCTCCCCGCGGGCCTCCACGTCCCTGGGTCACACCCTTGTGGCCTCTCAGCTGCTCTCCGTGGACACCAAGACTTCAGGCCCAGTCCCCAGGGCTGCCACTCCAGCAGCCTCATGAGGTAGCTGAGGAGTGTTGGAGAGCCAACAGTCTCCCTCCCCATTGTCTGGAGAATCCACTGGGGAAGCGTTGTCTGTGATGTCCTTTGTAGGATGTCTTCTAATCCTAGAGTCTACTCTTTAGTAGATTGGGACACTCTGATTTTTCTTTTGTGCTCACTGTGGACACCTGGGCCTGGTGTGCCAGCAGCACCATCCATCTGCAGACTCCCATCACCCCACGGCTCTCCCTGCCCTGTGCGGTCAGTTCACCCCCGACCCAGCCTCTTACCCCACTGATCCTCACTTGATCCCTTTATCACCACCTTTTCCAAAATGCCAGATTCACAGAGTCACACAGAGTTTAAAATGTTACTTTTATGGTTTGGATGTGGGGGTCCCCCAAAGCTCTTTGTTAATGCAGAAATGTTCAGAGGTGGAGTGACTGGATCATGGGAGCTGTGGCCTGGTCAGTCCACCCTACTTTGAATGGACTGACCGGGTGGTAACCATAGGTAGGTGGGTGTGGTGGCAGGAGTGGCCACTGCCCTAGGAGTGTGTGTCCTCTGCAGCCTCCCCCCGCCCCCCCATTCCCGTGGTGCCAGGAGGGGCGCAGCCTCATCTACTGTCCCCTTTACCCTTGGTCCACTGCCTCACCTTGGGTCCAAAGCAGTGGAGACCTCTGAATCCATGAGCCCCAGCAAACTTTTCCTCCTCTAAGTTGTTCAGCTATTTTGGTCACAGCTGAAACATAGGCCAGGTGGCAAATGACCTGAAAAGACCCCATGAAAGAAGAGCACAGATGGCGTCCAAAGAGGTGAAAATGGCTGGACACAGGAGCAAACACTGAGGTGCAGAACTGACCCCAGCGGCCAGCTCTGCACACCTGGGTCACCTAGTGACCGTTGCATCTGACCCAATCAGCCAGCTCTGCACACTTGGTCACCTAGTGACTGTGCGTCTGTGTGAAGAGCTTTGGAGGGGGTGGGCTTCGGGGGCACATTGGAGCTAGTGCCTGCATCTGACCTTGCTTTTTGTTCAGGACAAATAATTGACCCCCTCATCCCTTGTTTGAGTGTTTTGGTTGAGTGCATTGAAATGTCTTTCCTCTTTTGCCTCCATTTGAATAGTCTCTTGGGCGGCCCACCAACACGCCACAGGAGAGTGATTGAGACGGCAGATTCACGCTCGTGCAGTTCCAGAGACTAAGCCGTGAAGGCACAGTGACAGCAGGGACATGCTTCTCTGAGCTCTGAGGGAGAGCCTTTCCTTGCCTCTTGGAGCGTCTCGTGGCTCCCGGCAAACCCTGGCCCTTGGCCTGTGGCTGCTCCCTTCAGTGTATGCCCACGTCATGCCTCCTACCATGCGTCGGGGCTTCCTTCGACGTCCTCCTATAGAGACACTAACCATTGTACTTACGGCTCTGACCCAATATGACTTCCTCTTTACCCACTGCATCTGCAAGGTCACACTGTGAGGTCCTTGGTGGACCTGAATTTGGGGCAGCTGCCGTTCATCCACCATGTTCACCCACTTGCCCCTTGGTCATATTTTCTTCTGTCGTCTGTGTAGTTAACCCAGGAATCTGTGACGTTGGAACTCTAGGATCTGATCCTATAAACCAGCTCCAGGTACACCGAGAACCTGTAACCCCATGGAGCTCTCCTCTGAATCTGTGACCTGTTCCCAAGTCCTTCATTTCTGTAAATGTTGACAGACTCATAGGACATTCACAGAGTCACGTTCATTTGTACTCACCGGCATGTGCCTGCCTCTGTGGCCCCTTCTCTATCAGTTTCCTTGCTTTTCATCATTTCCTTTCTACCTTAAAACTTCTTTAAGTATTTTCTCCAGCTTTGATGCTGCCGTCGGCATATGCTCTCGGTGTCCACCACCTGAGGCTGTCCTCATCTGTGAGCACTTTGTCAGCAGGTGTAGACCTCGGGCTTGTGGCCGACGTCAGGTGACAGAGGCACAATTCCAGTGTATTCTGGACTCCAACATGCCCACCGAGAAGTCATCTGTCAGTCTCGTTGTTACTTCTTTAAAGTTACTTTGTCTCTCCTTCTCCCTGACCTCTTAGATTTCTCTCTTTACATTTCAGCACCAGCAGGGCCAGGGTGGTTGTATGTACCCTGCCTTGCTTAGGATTCTCAGTGTGTTTTTAATCTATGGTTAATAGCTTTCATCAATTAAAGTTCTGACAATACTTCACTACCTCTACGCACTCATCTCTCCTTGTAGGATTAAACCTATTTTTTCTACTGAGTCCTGTATGTTTGTTTCTCTATTTTAATCTTTTTTCTGTGGCTCCATTTTGATTTCTTCACCTCCCTTCATTCTCTGAACTTCTCTTTGACTTTGTCGAATATGGTATTAAACTCTCAATTTCTCAATGCAGTTATTATGTTCTTCATCCATAAATTCATGTTGGATTCCTTTATAGAATTCTGCCACTGAAATTCTCCTTCTTTCCCCCATTGTCTTAAAAAAAATTGTCACAGTTACTTTAAGCCCGTGATTGACATTCAGATCTCTGGAGCATCTGTGGACCTGTATGGTCTTCGTCTCTCCTCTTGGTCTTAAGAATTCTTTAAGTATTTTCTCCAGCTTTGATGCTGCTGTCAGCATGTTTGGTCTTTGTTTTTCCTCTTGGTCTGTTTGGTTTTCATTTTTACTCTTGGTCTGTTTGGTCTTTGTTTTTCCTCTTGGTCTGTTTGGTTTTCGTTTCTCCTCTTGGTCTGTTTGGTTTTCATTTTTCCTCTTGGTCTGTTTGGTCTTTGTTTTTCCTCTTGGTCTGTTTGGTCTTTGTTTTTCCTCTTGGTCTGTTTGGTCTTTGTTTTTCCTCTTGGTCTGTTTGGTCTTTGTTTTTCCTCTTGGTCTGTTTTGTTTTCATTTTTCCTCTTGGTCTGTTTGGTTTTCGATTTTCCTCTTGGTCTGTTTGGTCTTTGTTTTTCCTCTTGGTCTGTTTGGTTTTCGTTTTTCCTCTTGGTCTATTTGGTTTTCGATTTTCCTCTTGGTTCTTTGGTCAATTGATCTTGTCGATTGTTAGGCCTGATACTTTTTGAATAAAAATAAGATGTTGTGAGTGAAAATGTGAAGGTCCTTTTCATCATGAAGCCCCTGTCTCGCAGTGGGCTGACCTTCACTCTGACACCTGTTGACTCCGGCAGAACACCTGAGTTCAGTCTGAGCTGGTTCAGGTGGGGCCGGTCTTACTTCTGCTTCTGCTAGGGAGCAGCCTCACTTAGACCCAGCGTTTGCCACAAAAGCCTGAGTGCCTGGCCAGAGTCCCTTCCCCTCTCAGCTTGTGAGCTGACTTGGCTTCACTTCATGTTGGTGGTCAGTCCCCAAGACCACTGAAATCTCTCTCCACTTTCCCAACCTCTCGTCTGTGACCTGTGAACTGGCAAATGCCTCAGGAAGAAACTCCAAGAAAGTAGTGGTCCCTGCTGTGTCCCCTGTGATGGGTGATGGGGACTTGGTCCCTCAGCCTCAGCTCCTGGTGCGTCCTCTGGCCCTCCAGTGGAGATTGCATTTGTTAACCAGGTTCCTCATTTTTCTCAGACAGATGGTCAGTCTGATAAGAGCCCACTCCCCCCATGAAGAAGCAGAACTCGACAGAGCATTTTATATGGTCTAAGGAAAAGTGTGAAACTGGGCCCACAGGGGGTTGGTAGGAAAACAGGTGCCCAGGACAGCGGCTGGCAGGGAAATGGAGAGGCGGCCCAAGGAGGGCTAAGGCCAACGGGCAGTCCTGGCTCTGCAGGTTCAGAACCTGGACCCGCGGCCCAGGAGGCTGCCTGGTGCCCCAGCGGGGAGAGCACAGCCCTCCATCCTGGCCTGAGGATGGAGGCCTGCTGCCCTCAGGCACAGGGACAGGATGGACAGGGCCACAGGGAGGAGGTAGGGAGAGGTGGAGGGATAAGGACCTGTGCAGGGCTCAGGGCAGGCTCAGGCTGTCCAGCTCCACACAGCCATGAGGCCCCGGGCAGGGCACCAGGCACCCTGGACTCTGGGTGCTCAGTACAGGTGCCAAGCATCCTGCAGTGGTGACGGGTCCTGGGGAGGGGTGTGAACCTCAGGTGACACCTCTGTGCCCAGGCTTCCCTCCAAGGGAGACGAGGCCCTGAGGCTGCTGTCCAGTGGCTGGAGGGTGCCCCAGCAGCCCAGGGTGGCCAGGCTCCTCCCACACACAACACCCCAGCACTCAGTGCTCCCGGAACCCACTCCCGCTCCAGGGGCCCCGACGCTGGCAGGACATTAACGAGCTGGACAGCCTCCCAGGTAAACAAGCATCCCCAATGACGGCCAGGAGCCGGCCCAGCAACCCGGAAGGAGAGGCTGTGGGCTGGGGACCAGAGGGACCAGGCGGGTATAAAAGCCAGAGCCCAGAGCTCCCCACACACACCCACACACTCACCCACCCACCCTCCTCCAGCACACCCACCATGGCCACCTCCACCATGTCCGTCTGCTCCAGCTCTTGCCCCGAGTCCTCCTGGCAGGTGGACGACTGCCCAGAGAGCTGCTGCGAGCCCCCCTGCTGCGCCCCCAGCTGCTGCCAGCCCAGCTGCTGCGCCCCAGCCCCCCGCCTGACCCTCCTCTGCACCCCAGTGAGCTGTGTGTCCAGACCCTGCTGCCAATCAGTCTGCACCAGCTCCTGCACCTCCTCCTGCTGCCAGCAGTCTAGCTGCCAGTCTGATTGCTCCAGCTGTTCCCCCTGCCAGCCGTCCTGCTGTGTGTCCCTCTGCTGTAAGCCTGTGTGCTGCAAGCCTGTGTGCTGTGTGCCCGTCTGCTCTGAGGCTTCCTCTTCCTGCTGCCAGCAGTCTAGCTGTGAGCCCTCTTGCTGCTCCTCTTCCCCCTGCCAGCAGTCCTGCTGTGAGCCCTCTTGCTGCTCATCCTCCCCCTGCCAGCCGTCCTGCTGTGTGTCCCTCTGCTGCAAGCCCGTCTGCTGCAAGCCCGTGTGCTGTGTGCCCGTCTGCTCTGGAGCCTCCTCCTCCTGCTGCCAGCAGTCTAGCTGCCAGTCTGACTGCTGCAGCTCCTCCCCCTGCCAGCCGTCCTGCTGCGTGCCCGTCTGCTGCAAGCCCGTCTGCTGCTACAGACCCTCCTCCTGCGTGTCCCTGCTCTGCCGCCCCGTGTGCAGGCCCGCCTGCTGCGTGCCCGTCTCCTCCTGCTGTGCCTCCTCCTGCCAGCCCAGCTGCTGCCGCCCGGCCTCCTGCGTGTCCCTGCTCTGCCGCCCCACCTGCTCCCGCCCGGCCTGCTGTGGTGTCTCCTTGGGCCAGAAGTCCTGCTGCTGACCAGCCATATCCCCAGGGCCACTGGGCTCAGGTCCCTCCATAGCTGGGCCCCTCACCACCCACAGTCTGCTCCTGAGCTCCCCATTGGCTCTCTCATGTGTCCACTATGCTAACCTGACCTCCCAGGAGCCCCACCACCTTCAGTCCCCTGTGTGTCCCTCTAGTTCCTTGCTCTGGGTCACCTGCCTCATCTTCCATCTGCCAGCCCCTCTCAAGGCTCAATAAACTCACCCTGATCACGTGATTCTTCTTTCTCTCATGACTGTGGGGACACAGGGTGGGAGGGAGTAGGAGCATTCCTAGGAGTGAGTGGCTTGGCCTGGAGATCACAAGGGACAGCGGCTATGTCCCCCGGGTGCAACTCTGGTGGGAGTCATGTCTCCAGAGGGGAAGTCTCTCCTGGGAGAGTCCCCAGCTCTGCAGGTTCTGTCCAGTGTCCAGCAAACAGGCTTGGGCCTAGGTCGGGAGCAGCACTGGGGGTGGGACTTCCCGGTCAGTCGGCATGGCCGGGAGGAGTGTCTGCTGCGTCCTGCTGGGTGGAGCACACTGCAGACTTCTTAGGAGAGCGTCCCCCACAGTGGGGGTGACATTAACCCGCAGGGACCCCTGTCTAGTCCTGCCTGGCCACGTTTGTTGAGCCTCAGAAGCCGTCTTCCCAAGGAGCTCAACCTCACCTCAGAGCAAAACTCAAGGAGCTTCACAGGGGTTCAAGTGTCCCTCCCCCTGCAAAGTGAGACCCCATGCTGAGCAGACCCCAGCCCTCACCAGGCAGGCAGCGCGGAGGAAGGGGACCCCCCAGGGGACGTGAAGGGAGAGAAACAGAAACTGAGGCCCCATCGACCAGGAGCCGAGCAGCCCGCAGTCCAGATCTTAGAGGTCAGAGGGTGAGCTTAGACCAGAAACCACGGGGCGCCGCCGCTGGACTGTGAGAGCGCGTGGCCCATCAAAGGCCACCAGGTCCTCTCCCACGGTGCTGGTGCCATTCGCCTTCCCTCCAGCAGGCAACGAGGGTCCGTGCAGCTCCACACCCGCGTGGCTCCACACCTGCGCTGACTCTTGGGGCCGACATTCTGGGGTCTTTGTGGTTTTGGGGGTCTTGGTGGGTCTTGGCAGCACTTGGTGGGTCTTGGTGATCTTGGGGGTCTTGGTAGGTCTTGGTGGTCTTGGTGGTCTTGGTAGGACTTGGGGGTCTTGGTAGGTCTTGGTGGTCTTGGTAGGTCTTGGGGGTCTTGGTGATCTTGGGGGTCTTGGTGGTCTTGGTAGGTCTTGTTGGTCTTGGTAGGTTTTGGTGGTCTTGGTAGGTCTTGGGGGTCTTGGTGGTCTTGGTAGGTCTTGTTGGTCTTGGTAGGTCATGCGGGTCTTGGTGATCTTGGGGGTCTTGGTGGGTCTTGGCGGCACTTGGTGGGTCTTGGTGATCTTGGGGGTCTTGGCAGGTCTTGGGGGTCTTGGTGATCTTGGAGGTCTTGGTGGTCTTGCGGGTCTTAGTGATCTTGGTGGTCTTGGTAGGTCTTGGTGATCTTGGTGGTCTTGGTGGGTCTTAGTGACCTTGGTGATCTTGGCGGGTCTTGGTGGGTCTTGGTGATCTTGTAGGTCTTGGTGGTCTTGGTGGGTCTTGGTGGGTCTTGGTGATCTTGGAGGTCTTGGTGGTCTTGCGGGTCTTAGTGATCTTGGTGGTCTTGGTGATCTTGGTGGTCTTGTGGGTCTTAGTGATCTTGGTGGTCTTGGTGGGTCTTGGTGGTCTTGGCGGGTCTTGGTGGTCTTGCAGAATGGAGGGATCCAGGGACCCAAAAAGGGGCCATCTGCTTTGGTTGTCTAAGGGATAAGTGGGCCAGGCCTGGGTGCTATATTTGATCCAAGAGGCATTGTAGGGGAGAGTCAACCAGCAAGCAGAGAGGACACATTACCATGTAAGGAGGAGGGAAGAGGATGCAGAGAAGGAGGAAACTGATTTATTGGCAAAAGGGGTGTCCCCGCTAGAGCCAAAAAATCAGGAGTGCCTAAGTGGCAGGTTCGAGCTACAGAGATTGGTCGTCACCGAATCCTGACAGTCGAAGCTCTCGTCCTGGATGGAGCCGGAGTCATGGGAGACCTTGGCCAAGGCTTTTCGGGACCCCTCCTGGAGAGGCCGGATACTCCCAGGGCTGGAAAGAGGGGAGAGGAAGGGGAGAGTAAGTGTCTCTCTAGTGACTGAGTCTTAAGGTAAGAGGACTAGGACTTTCGAATCTACAGTGGCCCAAGGAAGGAGTCCCTGAGGGCCACCGTAGCCTTAAAGGCTGTGGTGGGGTGCTTTCCTCCCCACAGGTGAGCAAAGAGATTTGCCTGACCATAATCAACATATTGCAAGAGGGTGGATTCGGGGCACTGGGGGTGAAAAGATTAAAGGTCGGAGGCCAAGGTTTGTCCAAAGAGGTGTGGGCTATCTCGAAATCCCTGAGGAAGGGCAGTCCAGGTTAAAGGCAAAAAGATATCCTTAAATTTATGACCGAGACATGGGTGGCAGTGTGGGGGATCTGAGACAGCAGATTGTATGGGATGGGAACCAAAGGATGTATGGGCCTAACGGAGGTGTTGATGAATCGTAGGTAGGAAATGTTGGGCTTTTCTACCGCTAGTATGGGAGTATTATAAGGGGAATGAGCAGGACGGAGGTACCCCTTGATAAGAAGGTCCTTAATAATAGGTTGTAGGCCCAGAAGAGCTTTTGTGGACAGGGGGTATTGAGCCTGATTTGAGAAGGTGTTAGGATCTTTGAGATGAATGTTAACTGGTGGACAGGAAATGGTGGAGGGGGTGTGGGTATCCCATACAATCGGGTCAACCAGGTTAGTATGTTTATTTCATGTCAGCCTCACAAGTGGAGCAGAATGGCCAGTCTTCTGCCAAAGGGGCCAGAAAAGATGAACAGGCCGATTCTGGGGCCTGACTGATGCCAGGAGCCCGGATGTTGATTGTTGTATTGAATTTAGAGAGAATATCTCAGCCAAGCAAAGGAACTGGATACTGGGGCATAACTAGGAACGTCTGAGAGAATGGGAATTTGTCTATGGAACAGAGTAATAGGGGAGTGTTTTTTGGGTAGATGGTCTTTCCTCCTACCCCGATAATAGGAGAGGTGGACGGCACTGTTTGCCCCCAGAGTTCTGTCAGGACTGAGAAGGTAGCCCCGGTGTCAAGGAGAAAATCAATCTTGTGTCCATCCACCTGAATTCGCACCCTGGGTTCCTGTCTATTGATCATTATGGCCGGGGACAAGGACCCAAGGCACCATCAATCGATTGCCATGCCCAGAAGGTCAGAGGATTCCCTGGCCATAGGCCTCCTCTCCTACGGGATCTAGGACAGTCAGAGCCCCAATGACCTTGTTGTTGACATTTAGGGCATGGGGTAAGTGGAGTGCATGGTGCGGGGCATGCCCTGGCCCAATGTCCCTCCTTGCCACACTTGAATCAGGCATGGGGGTGGGGGGTGGGGGGGTTCGGTGATGCGCGGCGACCTGAGGAAGCACCCTGCAGGGCCTGAGCGAGCATAAAAACCTTAAAGGCTACCGCCAAGATCTCAGTCTGGGGGGTGGCAGGGCCTCGTTTGAGCTTTTGTAGTTTGCCCAGATGTCGGGGTAGCTCTGCGAGAGGAAATATGTCATAAGGACATGACGGCCATCTGAGGCTTCGGGAGTTTGATCTGTGGCAGCAAGTGGCCCCAGAGGGTGATTGGGATTGACTCGGTGAGTTTCATCCGCATGGGCTTTGGCAAGTTCCCAGACTCTGGTACGTTCCTCAGGAAGAAGAGTATTAGCCAATAACATAGAAGTGAGGCTATAAGCCTGGAGGACCCACTGAAACTCTCTTATGTAAGTAGTGGGATCTGTGGGAATGAGCCCAACCTTCACTCGAGTTGCATGGGGTCATTCATAGAGAATGGGACATGTACTCAGATAATGCCCTCAGGTCCAGCAACCTCTCTTAAAGGGGCCATGGTTTGTGGTACTAGGAATGGGACCTAGTTTGGGGGGAACTAAAGGTGTCAGCTGAGTCAGGGGGAGCACCTGAGGGGCTGGACGGAGCTGACGGGGGAGGTCGGTAGGGAGGGGGTTCATCGCCGGATAGGTAGGGGTGAGAATGAAGAAGAGAAAAAGCCTCAACATCTCCTTCCACTTTTTCAAGCACTCGCAGAAGTTAAACAGATCTCTGAGAATTGTGGGATCTAGGGATCCTCCTAGGGGCCATTGACTTTGATTGTCTAATTGATAGTAAGGCCAATATTGTGTGCAGAATTTAATAAGAGGGAGTATGCTGGGAGGGAAGAAAGGCCCCCATAGGTCAGGAGAGGGACAAGGGTGGTTAAGAGGGAGAGGGGTGGGGAGAGGGGAGTGCCTGTTCTTCCACCCCTCAGGACCTCTCGCTCATGAACCGGGTTCCAGAGAGTCCACCGTGACCGTGAAGGTCGTAGTGGGGTGCGTTCTCTCCTCCAGATTGGGCGTCAGACGTTTGCTGGATGATCACGGTAACAGCCCCTGTGTAGCCCATCTGAAGTTGGATACCTGATAGGGGAACTCACCTACTGAAGGGCCGGTGTTGTGTGAGTAGCAGCAGTGCTCGAAAGAGTGGACGAGGACAGCAAGCCTTGAGAGAGGGGCCCTCGAGCAGCGAGGCATTCCTCCTCCCGGGTTTCAGCACCAATGAAAGAATGATCAAGGCTTGCCATCGGAGAAAATGCCCGTTTATTGAGGAAAGCTCTGCATATTTATAGAGCCGGGGGTGGTTTGGCAGTTGGCATAAGGTGCTTTTTTATTGGTGGGTAAGGATCAGGTGAGCCAGCAGGTCTAGTCTGATTGGTGGGTAAGGATCAGGTGAGCCAGCAGGGCTCACCTTTGGACAGCTCTTCTTGCGGGATGGGGAAGTTAGTCTTTGGAGCCTGGGCGACTCCCAACAAAGACCACATTGAATTGAATCCCCGTTACGAGCTACAAGGAGGTATGACTAGGTGGGACAATTAAGAGGCAAAAGGTATGTGAAGGTTCTGCCCCCATGAACGGATTAGGGATTAGATGAGTCTGTTACAAAACCCAAGTTGCCTATGTGTCTTGGATATTCACCTCTCATCCTGGGAGCCCTGAGCTGCCTCTAGACTCTGCATGTTCTCACCAGCAAGAATCTCTCACCAGATGTAGACCCACCACCTTGGACCTCCCAGCATCCAGAGCTGTGAACTGAATGGATCTTTATTCTTTGTAACTTTCC